ATTCATTCTTAACATTTCCGGTAACAGCTTTGTAAATTCGGCTTCTTTCTTGTCGGTTTTTGTTTGGCCGCCTTCTTCCTACAATTCAATTAATAGAATCGTTACTTTATTAATATATAAATATTTAGAAAAAAATAATTTTAATAAATATTGAATAACTATACGTACCGCTGTTGAAGTTATTATTTTGCCAATGACGATGTTTCTGAAAATTTTTATTTTAATTTGGCTTAAATTGATTCCGTGCTCGTTGATTGAATGAATGACGATGTTTGTACTCTATTTTAAATAAAAACAATTTAATTTTGTCAACATTTTTTTTATCATAAAATAAATATAAATTAATTAAAATAAAATTTAGTTTCATACCATTCCTTGAGACTTGCTTTCGAAATCCCATTTGTCTCCGGAGTCTGCGCCATTCGATTATTTCTCGTGCATATATGATTATAAATAATCAATAATTATTGTTGATTATAAATAATAATAATTATAAATGATTAGAAATTTTTTAAATATAAATATCTTATTTTATAAAAAAAAAAAATTAGGAAAACGGTTGACCCCGAAGGCCATCCCTGCAACTTCCCGCCAATTCTATACAGACACCACCACGGGGGTAGTCAGGGAAGCTTCCTCTGACCTTAAAACGTCGAGATCTGATGAAAACTCGATTTTTGCAAAACGGGATGAAAACAATAAGTTCCCGATTTTTGAAAATCTGAGATTTTTAGCGGGAAGTTAAAAAAATAAAAAATACTCTGTTAAAAATTATTTAATTATAATTTTTTTTTTAATCAATAACACATTTATTTTTTTCTTAAAAAATGAATGAGTGTTATGAGGCATGTACTTTTGGATTTTCCAAACTTTTTTATTATATTGTTATGCTAAAAGAACATGGAAATTTGCTTGACCGTCCATTTATTGGGGCGTTTACCTTAATAACGTTTTTTTGATATTTTAAAAATTAAAAATCTTACGAACAAATTAACCGATTTTGACGAACTTGGCAGCGTTTGACGCAGTTTGTCGAGCACTTATACTTAACTTGTAACATCAAAAAAGATCCGAGAAAAAAGTTCGAATTTATTTGAAAAAAAAAAACACTCCAAATTTTTCAAAAATGATGTCGCTCGAAGAAAACTCTTCGGTGCAGCACAAGTGATGTAACTAGATTTCATACTAACTTTCTCGGCTCTCCAAACCTTTACGTGTGTAAAAGAAGCAATTTCGAAAATTAATACTTCAGAAACAGTGTGGTGAATCGATTTAAAATTTTGGTGGTAAACTATTGAGGTATTTACCTTTCTATAAAAAAATGTTCATAATTTTGATAAGATATGAATTTTACGGCAGTACTACCTTAAGGCATGCCTTGCAAGGCTGTAGTAAATGTATTTTCTAAAATTTTATTTTTCTAATTACTTTTTGAAAAAATTATTAAATGAACTATTATGAAGCTTTCACAGTAGCCAGACATATGTTGTTTTTCGGAAACATCATTTTATTTGATTTCAAAATTTATTCAAGACGTAATTAGGAAAATAATTACGTCTATAGTAAATGAATTTCTAAAAATTCATTTACTATAGCCTACCTTTAAGCGATCTCATCATAACTGAATGATTCAAGTTAAAATGACTTAAAATTACAAATTTTAAAAATCAAAAATTATTAGAGGCGTCAATAAATGTTACAATTATACAACGACACGTCAGTAATTGCATAATTTAGTTTTTTGGCTCCTCAAGAGTAATTTTAATTCTATGAAAAATTTATTCGAAAATTTATTTTTGTTGTGAGAAATTTTTGTGCCGGATATTTTTAAAGTCGTTGGGTCATACGAGCAAAATTTCAAGAAACCTTCCAAATTTATAATATAAGTAATTAAATGAAAATGACGTTTTTACACAGGCGGTATGGGAAAAGAGAGAGAAAACCGCGAAGTTTTATTATTATTGTATTGAAAAAATTTTAAGAATTTCACGAAAAACTAATATTATTCAGATTAATCTTCTTCTTCTATACTAATAAATGGAGAGCTGGTTTTTTTGTCCGAAAACTACTGAACCGATCGGAATAATACTTATACCATAAGATGCAGCGTGTTTCGGAGAAAGTTTTAGTATATGATATGTTGGTGATTACTTATCCGGAGCCTATATATTTTTGGCTTAGAATTAATGAATTTTTATTGTAACTAAATTTATTCTATTCGAATGTCATTTATTTAAAATAAATTTTTTTATTCTATTAGTTATGTTTATAAAAGGACGTTATTTTAATTAATAATTAATTATCTATGCGTCTGATTAAAAAATGGCTAAGGACTTTTCGTCTCAGAATTATTTTTTTTTATCAGATGCTACAATGGCATCCGGTACTTCTGGGACACTCTGAATAGTAGGCAGATTTCTTCATTCATGAGACCTGCAATTTCTTCAACTGAAACTTTCAATGCTCATTACAAATTTTTTTTTTTCATATCAATTATTATTGATTTTTATAAGAAAGACCGAGAATGTAATAATGATTGCGAATTGAAAGTTACAATGAATATTAGCTAGAATAATAATTATCCTAATATAAAATAGAGATGAAATGTATGTGGCATCAAACTATTCGTAACGTGATTGGTTGAATATATCATAAGCATGAAAATATATGCAAACTCTATAGTCAAAGCGCGCGCTTGCGCGCGTAAATTCAAATTCTAGTCCCATAATAAAATTGAGATGAAATGTATTTGAAACCAATTTATTCGTGATGTGATTGGTCGAAAATAAATATTCTCATTTTGATTGGTTGAAAGTGACTACAATATACATAAACGACACAAATATATCACGACAATAAATATGACGCGCGCGCTTGCGCGCGAAAATTAAATTCTAGTCCCATAATAAAATTGAGATGAAATGTATGTGAAACCAATTTATTCGTGATGTGATTGGTTGAAAATATTTATTCTCATTCTGATTGGTTAAAAGTGAATATAATATACATAAACGACACATAAATATATCATGACAATAAATATGACGCGCGCGCTTGCGCGCGAAAATTAAATTCTAGTATGGATAAAAAGTGCATGCCAATTCGATAGAATTGAGAATTTGTTCAAAGTCAAAACAATACTCTAATTATATTTCAAGTCTAGATCTAAAAATGTAATTCTATAAAGCGCCCAGCGGAGCGGGCGAGTAATAGCTAGTACATGTATAATTACCCTAAAGAATTCTAGAATGCCATACCACATAGATTTTGAGGAATCATTGATAAACTAGTAAAGTAAACAAATAAAGTCATACGTGGAAGTAAGTGAACAATAGCCCGTAAGGGAAGCGACACTAGCGAATGAAAAAGACAGCAGTAGCATAAACTATAGGTTGGGAAAAAACTACCTTAAATGAAAAATTATGACATGAGAAATGATCCTAATATAAAATTGAGATGAAATGTATGTGGCATCAAACTATTCGTAACGTGATTGGTTGAATATATCATAAGCATGAAAATATATGCAAACTCTATAGTCAAAGCGCGCGCTTGCGCGCGAAAATTAAATTCTAGTCACAGATAAAAAAGATATGGAACCTTTATCCGTTTTTTTTTCTTTTTTCAGTATGAATTTTTTCATTGTTAAACCGGACATAATCAATTTAAAAAGAAATTAGAAGTTGAAATCAAAGAGTTATTGTCTTTGGCGTCAGTAGAATATACCATCGCTTTGTGCTTAAGTTAAGGGGTTATATCCACTTGTAAGTTCGAAAAAATGTGTTTTTTTGTTAATTTTTTCTGGAGAGGCTTTTTATTGAATATATACATAAAATATATGAACATTTAGCAAATTTAACGTATTCTAAGAATTCATATTTTATTAATAAAAATATTGAATTCCGTCGTTCTTGTAGAGATCTCCTGAAGGTCCTCTACAAAAAGGTGTCTGGCGATGAGGAAGATATCTCTGATCCAAATTAATGAAAATTAATTTAGCAGATATTTCATAATTTTAAGAATTTTTTTAAACAAATAAATTATGGCAAAAAAAAGTGCAATTTTTTTAAAAGAACTTTTTGGAAAGAATTTATTTGTTTAAAAAAATTAAAAAATGATTAAGTGAATGCTAACTTTAATGTCATTCCAAATTATCAGAAATAAAAAAAACCAAAAGGATTACTTTTAGGATAGATAAATATAGGTAATGATCGAAGAAATAGTCAAAATTTTGATTTTAGACAAAATGGTGGCTTCCCAAAGACATACAATATATTCTTCCTCATCCAAAAAATTTGAGTATTCCCGCCACCGCCATATTGCATCAAAATCAAAAAGTTCCCCAAAAAATCCCTAGATCAGACCTAAAAGTCTCTAGATCATTTGGCGGGTTTTTTTATCACGTTGCATCGTCGCATCGGCTTTCTCTTCTCAAAAAAACTCCGAGCGCAAGCAAGAAAGAAAAACGCGCGGCAATTTGCGCTGTGTTCACCCCACAGTGTGTCTTGCGCAGTAATTACCCTGTTTAGGCATCAGTATACATTTATTTTCTTCTACACTCTTGCACACTACGTAAGTATAAGTATTTATACATATGTATGTATTTATACCCGACATGCATTATACAATATTACTCACACTTATTTATTTCTATAGGTACGGCCAGCTTTAGCATTCGTATTACATCCATCGGCTGTATGTACATACATTACACATTACATACAACATAGACTGTCGCTATGCATTGATTTGTAATAAAATTCAGTGCAAACAAAACTCTTATTGTAAATAATTATTTTTAACAAAATAAGTATACATATATGTGTATGTATGTATATTTATAAATGAATTTATAATTACAATTCTAGATATTTATTTATCGAGTAACAGCACGTCGGTGCCGTTGATTAAAAAAAAAACAAGTGCTTTTAACAGTCGTCAGTCGCTTATTTGAGGATTTTTATTGCTGAAGTTGGGAGTAAAACGGTCACCACTTCAAAATGACTTCAACTTCGCTTACTCCTGCAGATGTATTGGCTAAATTACAAGGAACAATACCTAGTACCGATGAAATTATTATTCTAACCTATATCAACAGGTACCAAGAAATTTTATTTTATCAATTATAAATATTATATGTTAAGTTATTTAATATCAATATCATGTTACTTCTTTTGGTTTACACACAGTTACTTACTCCATTTAATTAATACTTAAATATTTGCAGTGATAACAAGAGGACAAATTTATTACAAATAATGACTGATAATCAGTATTCAGATTTATGTAATTTAATTATTAATTTTATGACAAGTGAACAAGAAAGTGGCCTGCTTAAAAAATCAGACGTTAAATCATTGTTGAATAATATTTTCAATGAGTCCAATAAAAAAATGCCGTTTTTTAGGCTATCTTTGACTGTTGGTCGCAACAAAAGGTAATTTTTTTATTTTTGTCGATTAAATATCTGTTTTTAATTTTTAATATTTTAGTGTAAAATATTAAATTTTATTTTATTTTTAGACTGAAAATATTTGATTTGATAAAAACAGTCGAGGACAAACAATTGACAAGACTCGTTGATGATCAGGATACGTGTAAATTTTTAAACGACTGTCTAACAGATGTAGAAGCTTCCAAAATGGAGTGGTTGTCACCTACAACCTGCACGGATAATATTTCATTGCTGGTACAAGCTGAAAAAAAGCCTACAGATTTTGAGGATTTAGTTATTTACAGTGCTTTGGAGTTTATTCATCGGCTTTACAAACACTCTTTGGTTAATTCTAATTTTAATATTCGAAAGGTATTTAATTTTTTTTTTTATACATAATTTTATGTCGAAAATTGAATTTTTGTTTTTTTGACAAAATTCAAAAGTAATACTTGTATTTTTCTATTTCACACATTTATCTAGTATTTTTGAAAGGTAATTGTTTGATTTCACAGTGAATTAATAGTAATAATTATAAAAATACATCTTTTAATTAGTTTTTACATCTACTGAAAATCGTAAATAAAATGTTTATTTAAGCCTACCGATTTCTAAAATTTTTCCATATTTTACGTGTCAAAACAAACAAATTTCACAAGTTTGGATTTTTCATTTTTTTTTTTTTTTTAAGTATTTTTTTGTATAATAAAACTGACTCGTTAAAATTTCAGATATAAAAAATTAGTGATTTTTGAAAAAAAATTCTAAATATTATTTTTATGAGCTGAAATATAATACTGAAGGTAGCCCGCATTAAAAAATTTTCAGAATTTTTTTTATTGAAAAAATTAAGAAAAAAAAATTCATTTTTAGAAAACTTGAAAAATTATAAGTACAATTTTAAAAAAATATTTCTATGTTATAATTTAATAAATGAGAAAATATAAAAAAATTAAAAACATCGGCTAACTTAAGTATTATGCTGAAAAACATATATGGCGCATTCTACGCTTTTGCATCTCCAAATTTTTTGAAAATTTTTTATGTTATAGTACCCATTGAAAAAGATTTCCATGATTATTTTCAATTTTTTTTGCCTATACTAGCCGTTTTCGAGATATCAATTTTTGAAAAAAATCGCTCTTTTTTTTTTTTCAAATGTCTGTAACTTTGCAAAAAATGGGCCAATCGGGACATTTTTTTATATTTTCGTTTTTAAACACACTTTTAGGATATACAATGAAAAAAAAAAAATTTTAAAATGTACTTCTATAAGATTTTCAAATTTTGACTTCAAAATGTTGATTTTCAAAAAACACGTAGCGATCGATTTTCTTGAAAATTTTTCCTAAGAAACTGTCATTTATCCCCCAAATTTTAAGCCTAGTCCCTTGAAGGGTAATCGGTAAAATCTATATAGAACTGTGAAACTAAAAAATTACCTTTTAAGGGGGATAGCCACTGTGAGGATCGAAAAAATAGGTAATTTTCGGGAATTTTTTTGATTGGGATAATCAAGGAATTTGGGGATCGGGTTTTTTTTGTTTTATAAAGTATATATTGATGATTATTCTCCTAAATTTTTATCCAAAAATATCATGTTGTTACAAAGTTATTAGCATTTTTGAGGAACACCAAAAAAATTTCCCCCATGGCGGTGCGATCTCTAACTCAAAAACAGATTATTTAAAACAAAAAAACGAATCAGCGTTGTAATCTGCATGCATGTGGTTATCGTTGCACGTAGGGGATTTTGAAAATTTGGATTTCAAAAAAAATGTCGACGTATTAAAAATTCTTTCAATTTTTTTTTCTCATTTTTTTGGATTCAAACAGCCCTAAAAAATCTTAAAAATCAAAATTTTCAAAATCCCCTACGTGCAACGATAGCTACTGAATAAACGAATATGGAAAAAAAAAAGTTGCAAATCTATTCATATTTATACAAATTACAGTTCGCACCAGTTCAAAAAAAGTAGTTTCGAGAAAAACGCGTTTTCGTCGGAATGCCGCGCGTGTAAAGTCATTTGACGCGCTGTCACAGAAATGACTATAGCTCGGAAAATATTCGGAATTTTGATACCAAACTCTAGATACATATTTTTGAATCTCAAAACTTGGATTTAATAGAAAAAAAAATTTTTTTTTTTGAAATTTCACAGTGGCTATCCCCCTTAATTAACTAAAATTATAAATTGAAGGACTATAATTTAACTTACACCATTTCAGTTTCACCAACTGGTATTAGATAAAGTAATAACCTTACTATATATGGGACACAAACACCAACGTGCGAGAGCCCTGGACCTCTTTACAACAGCTTTAAAAACGGACCTTCACAGTTACATCCGTCAACACCACGAAGAAACCTGGACCGTGTACCGCAGCAATTTGCAGAACGTGTATCACATCCGAATGTTGTCCTTAGTGAAGGCCAGCCAGCCTGACTGGTGTCGCCAGTGGTGTCTGAGCGTCCAGGCTCTGGGAACAGACCTCCACCGAGGTGCTGACTTGATAAATAACCTCCTAAGCGTTGAAGAGCGCGCCTTTAAGTCTCCAGACATGTCTATCAGGATCCAAGCTTTTCAGGCCTGGAAGTTGCTCATCGAGAACTTCGCCATAGATCCTACCCAGCTCGCTATTCCTCGGCGAATAAAACTGCTCTGCATCCCGCTGAACGCTAATAACAATAAAACGGAGTCGATTGCTCTGGCAAAGTTCGAGGTCTGGCGACACTTGATCATAAAGCTGTCATCTACACCTGACAAGTCTCTCACCCAAGTCATCGCGCAGTTTCTTAATTTTTGCTTTGGTCCGCTTGGAGACACTCCTCTGCTGTCAACCAAGTCTGGGATTCAATCTTCCCCAGGGAAACGGTTTGTCAAGGCTAGGAAGTGTGCCGTGGACTCTTTGCTCCAACTCCTGGCTTCTGATCCCCAGGATCGAGCGTTGCTTTTTCCAGAGCTAGACCAAGATAACACAACCATCAATGTGATATCCCAGGAGATGTTCCAGGAGAACTTCAAGAGCTATATCCACAGCTCCGGGGAAGCTTGCCTCTTGATTAACGACTCGGAGTTCGTCTTCGAGAACCGAGAAACTCTGAATCGCATTCTCTGGCAGTCTTTGATGAACTTGATAAACAAATCGACCGACGAACTCAAGCCCAAGATGTACCAGGAGCTGATTCTGATCATCTGCGAAGTGGTGAACCACATTAGAGTCCGTGATGACTGCACAAGCAACCTGCTCTTAGACACAATCGTCCCCGAACTCGTAAAAGTCAGCTCGCATTTGCTGTACCGCGACCAGACGCTGATGGATTTGCTGATCAGGCTTCTAGATCCAGAGTTCCTGAAGCGGCCTAATGCTGGCCTCAAGACTCTGCTAGTTCATGCAATCAAACCCGAGGCTATTACGGGTTACCATCCTGAATCTCTGCCGTTTCTCAAGTCGGTTCTCAGTCAAATGATTGCGCTAGGAACAAACGTCAATTTGACTGGTTTTGTTATAGAAATTTGGGCGGAACTTGCGGAGTTATTTGTAAAATTTATGGACAAAGAGTCGATCAATGAAGGAACTACTTTGGCTCATAATTTTGATACAGCATACTCGTTAATTATTTTTCCTTTTAAGGTTAAATGGATTAACAGTAACGATGTTAATCAACTAATAAAAATCAGTCGCTGTTGGAAGGATCTTTACGCAAAGTTTAATAACGCTGCTGATTTGATTACCACGGTCAAAACCAATGAAGTTCTTGACCATGTCGCTGAGGATTTGTTGACGCTAGTTAGCGCGAGAGACAATAACAAGTCATACAGGTTAGCAAAAAATATTTTTTTTTTAACTAGAAAATTATTATTGAGTTAGTGTGATGATTAATTTAAATTATTTTTATAGATTTATCTGCTACGTTTTTGATGCGCTGATGAACACGATTCACTACTCAGACTACCTAGCGGTCGAGGGAGTTCCAAGCTTAACATCTTTGCTGCGAGACGTCACCTACTCAACTCTGGAGCAAGCAGAGTACGTGAATGAAATTGAATGCAGTTTGAAAGCGATGGCGTCGCTGCTGATCACTATATACGGATTGGAACAGGACAAAGCACAGTTTCATCTAACAGTTCTAAAACCTTGTATTGAAGCGATGCTGAAGATCAACGTTCCAGAGTGCGTGAAAGAGGTAGTTAATACCTGGGAGACGGTGGTAATCATTCTGAAAGGTTTGTGGAGCTGCCTGACTTCAGAGTTTATTGATTCGTATCGTGAAGCTCTCGTCAACGCACTCTGTCATACAAACCACGAGATCGCTGCCCAGACGATGACCTTTCTGGACCATTCAGAACCCATTGGTGAGGATGTCAAACAGATATTAAATGAAATTGAGTTAGAAGCCTCGAAAAAGATGAGCAGCTTGGTCAAGAGTGATGAAGGTGAAAAGAAGCATGTAAGAGTTGCGGGAAGTTTTTTGGGTAGAAAATCTATTACTAAAGTTAGTGGAGGTAAAAAAGGCAAAGAAAAAAGAATGACTCCAGTTCCAGTTCCTCCAGAACCAGACTCTCAGGATTACGTTTTGATTCAGAATGATGTTAAAGTTAACGTAAATTTGCTGACGGAACACCAGAAGGAGTGTTTTAAGCGCCATCGAGATGACATTCCTGCTATGTACAACGACTTGTCGCAGTCTGGGTCAAGAAACACCCAAGAGTTAGAGGAGTGGTTTAAGAACAAAGCCGGTGGCTCCACAGAAACTACTGATGACAACAAAGAGAACAAGCACGAAGAGGTTAAAGAGAGCGAAGAAATAGTTGGTGACACCCAGGAACTTAGTCCTGAAGCTGGGGACAAAATAGAAGAAGGCTCTGTTGCGAGTATTGTCAAGAAGCTGAACTTTGAGTCACGTGATGAGTTTCCTGACGAGAATGAAAATACACAAGACAAAGACTTGACCAAATTAGGTTTACACCCGCGAGATGGCGCTGGCGGTTCGAGGCGAGATGGAAGGGGTAGACGCGGACGAAGACGAGGTGGTAGGATTTCTAGATCAAGTAGAGATCAAGAAAAAGGAATCAAGCGCAAGTCTGTGGATTCTGAAGAGTATGCAGACCCCAAGAGACGCAGGCATTCTGCTCCGACAGATTTGCAAAGCGACAGTGAGAGCTTCTGCTCTAATGATAGCGAAAAATCACCAGATGGCAGGACTGGAGTATCACAGAGGACCCAGAAAGAAATGTCTCGGTTGAAGATCGATATGGTCTTTGATAGTCGGAAAATGAGCAAGTTGCGAAACAAAGTTTCTGAAGATCAAAAAAGTAAGTCCGCCAATGACGACTTTGTTTATGAAAAAGTTAACAAGAGACATTCATTGGATCCCAGCAAGTTAGTAAAAAAGACCACTAGGAGTAGTGGAGATTCGATGTTGGTAGAGCGGCAGGATCTGATATTCGTACGTCGTAAACGGAAGATCTATCCCAAGCCTCAGGATCCTCAAAATCAGGAAGATTCCAAGTTCTTAAGCCCGATGTCTAGTCCTTCGACGTCTACTACCTCAAACTCCACTGCTGACGAAGTTGTTGAAAGTTCGCAGGATCTGTGTTCTGTACGGTCCCCCAGGAGGGAAAGGAAGACTGATAAGGTCGAGGTGGCTAATGATGAGAATCAGGTTCCTGAGCCTGCACTCTCATCTGTACCTGCATCTGCACCTGCACTTGACTCGCCAATTAAGACTGATGTTCCACCTGAACCGGTTAAAAGCGAATCTCCTGTGAAATCTAGTCAAGAAGTCGTAGAACCCACGGTAGATGTTAAGGAAGAAGAAGCTAAGGCCATCTTCCCGTCTCCGAAAGTTATCAAGCGCTTGACCAAGCCGAAATTACTCACTCCAGGACGTGGAGCGCATATGTTGGGACTGGTGACTAATCTAGGTATGTCTGAGACCGAAGAGATCAAAGTGTCTAGAGTGAAACCCAAGGATTCTGAAGTTCCAGTTTCAGAAATACTCAAGAAAGAACGAGCGAAAGATCTAGGTGGTAGTCCTGGTGGGAGTAGACAAAGGAAGATATTCAGTAACATGAAAACTGGGGACTACACGTCATCGCCGACTAAATTGTTCAGCAATTTGAAGAACGACGGCGAGAAGATATCACCCAAAATGGAGAAGGTCAAGGATGTTGGTAAAACCGATCATGATTACACGGAACTCAAGGAGGTGCAAATTGATCTCCCAATGCTTGAGTGGTCCAGCGCCAATCCGCCATCTTTGACGGCTTCTCCAAGTGCGGGTATTTTGAAGAAACGTGCTGTTAGTGCTCTTAATTATGCTATTTTTAATAGTACTGGTAATAGTAATGTTAATAATGTTCCTGTGGGGAATGAAGAAATGGTTGACACGCCAAAGCGGAAGCGCGTCAGTTTTGCTGACCCTCCTGTTTCCAAAGAAATGGGGTACGAAGTTCTACCAGGCTCTCCTGGAAAGTTGACTAAATTATTTATGACACGTAGTTTTCCGGGAAGAAAGGACACACCGCTCAAGATTAAGCTGCCTAAGTTCAAGACGATACAAACGGAAGAAAAGCCTGTGGAGGCTCTCAAGAGCGACACTCGTTTGTATGATATTAATATCGAAGATAAAGAGCAAGAGGACGTCGAAGTATCTATTGCTTCGCAAGATATCTTCCAGGGAGAAGATATGAACGTCATAGTCGAGGAGAAAAACGATAGTCTTACGCCTGTTGTAGAAGAATATGGAACTCAAGAATCGACGATGGGAAGAATAATGAACGGAACGGCGAGCCAGATGGAAGTCGGGAGCATCAATAATATCAATGAGACTCTGGAAGACACTGTTGATGTAGGGAACATCAGCACCTTTACTGATGACAGTATCTACAAGCCCGTACGAACTAGTACAGTAGAAAAAATAAACGCTAGTGACACTTTACCGGTTACCAGTTCGATATTCGATAGCCAGCAGTCAGTCGACCTTACCCAAGGTCAAGGAATGGAAATGACTGATCCAATTTGCCCAACATTGCTGGGTTGTACGGAGCCCATCGACTCGATTGTGGATAATCTTGTTCATCCTCTGTGGTCAAAGAATCTCTCGAAGCTTTTTACCTCGAGAAACATCAACACCGTGGGTGACCTAGCAGCGTTGAGCAGTCTAGAGTATGAAAAGTTGCCACTTAAGGCCTCGGGAAGTCCCAAAGTTGAGCACGTCCGCAAAGTACTGACTGACTTTAGCATGTCACTGTCGACGGTCTCGGCTGATAGGGAAGAAATTATGGACGTTGACTCCCAGTTAAACCACAGTCTTATAGAGGATGTTGGCACTCAGCCGGTTGTTTACAACGATGATTTAAATATCTCAGAAGTGCTTACTGACAAAATTCGGGTCACTCAGGAGATTGAAAGGACAGAAGAAAAGTGTTCTAATGAGTTCGGGTCGATTATTCTAGACAACACACTGTCGCCGCCCAAGAAATCCTCGACGGGAATGAACAGCGGGTTGATGAATGCTGTTAGTGGTAAAAAAGATGTAGAAGTTGCTACGGATTCACTTGCTACTGATAGCAAATCTGTTGGAGTACAAATGAAATTAGATGAATTGCTAGATGAAATAGACGTTGATCTCGTGTTGGCTAGTGGTGTCAAGCGCAGCTGTCCGCAAAGTATTATTACTGCTTACAAGGTAAATAAAATTTATGTTATTTTCCATTTTTTTGTCAATCGCGTGCTTAGTACAAAAAGGGCGCATAGCTACAGGTTAGTAGGAATCCATGCTAAAAGGGCACATGAAAAAATTTTTTTGTGTCATTTTTCTTAAAATCACTCAAAATACAAAGATCTGTAAAAAAAAAATAATTCGAGCATCCTAAAGTTAAAAGGGCGCATAAAAAAATTTTTTTTATAAAAAATTTTGATAAATACCTTCACAAGGCATGAAATAAAAAAATTTAATAAATTAAAAAAAATTTTCTAAGTACTTGAACAATATTGAAAAAATAATAATTTTAAACTATTTTTATACAAAATAATCGGCACAAAATAATCGGTGGCGCAAAAAAATCGACTATTTTTTTTTAGTCTCGAGTGAAAAAATGTTAGTTTTTGATGTTTTAAGAGCTCTCTCCAAAGGACAGCTTTAAAAAAAATTTTAAGAAGTCACTCCAAATTTTTTTAAATTTCAAAAATCGTCAAAAATCAATTTTTTTTTTTAAATTTTTTTTCTCGTTACGTCATAATTTTATAAACCAAAAAAAAAGGTTTTCCTGAAAGTTTCAGTTCAAAATGTGAATTTTAAAAGGTCGCTCATATAATTTTTTTTAAATTCATTAGTGACTATTTAATTGGATTAGGATTTTTGACTCTGAAATTAAAAAAAAAATTATGAGCGACCTTTTAAAGTTTAAATTTTGAATTGAAACTGTCAGGAACTTAAATTGGATTAGGATTTTTGACTCTGAAATTAAAAAAAAAATTATGAGCGACCTTTTAAAGTTTAAATTTTGAATTGAAACTGTCAGGAACTTATTTTTTTTTTGGTCTATAAAATTATGACATAGCAACAAAAAAATTCAAAAAAAAAAAAATTTTGATTTTTGACGATTTTTGAAATTTAAAAAAATTTGGAGTGATCTCTTAAAAATTTTTTTTTCAACTGTTCTTTGGAGAGGGCTCTTAAAACATCAAAAACTAACATTTTTTCACTCGAGACTCGAAAAAAAAAAAAATAGTCGATTTTTTTTTGCGCCACCCTAATAATCATGCATATTTTACAATTTTTAATTGTAATTTTAAAAGAGTGTATGTATAGTTAGAGTACGCCTCTTTGAATCTACCACTTTTTTTTTAATTTTTAGGCTAACAGTAATCATTTTAATGAATTGCTGAAAAAAAAAAAAATGTATAGGCTCTTTTAGCTTTAGGAAACCAATGCTTGATTTTTAGACGAAAAATATGCCTACCAGTAGATTGGTGATAAAAAAAATTATGCTATACTTCGCTATGTGCCCCTTTACATTTGGCACGCAAAATAGTAATTTATAAAAATAATTAAAATTTAAATGGAATATTTCAGGCAAAAATGGGAGCTAAAAACGACGCTGAATTGGGTCGTGAAACAATGCACCTCCTAGGTATGGAAACGTACCCAGACACCTGTTTGAAGATAGCCTGTCGTGATTACGGAGCTTCTAAGATCCTCGGTCGGCTTCCAGACATATTCATCAATGACAAGGAATTTTTTTCAAAAGTCCTCAACACCTATCGGATGAAACTGACTACTAGCGATCTCTTGAGTGTCGCGGATATTGACAGCGTCAAGCAGGAGCTCTGTCAGAAACTAACCTCTGCAGAACTCTGCGACATGCTAGCCCAAGTGCTGGCTGAGGAAGAAGAACGTGAGATCAAGACCCCTATCACCGATGAGACTTGTCTAAATTCGATTCTCAAGAGGATGCCCATAGACTCAGTGATCAGTCACACTGTTGCTAACGACGAGCTTATTCCCTCATCCGTTGTTTTGGACATAGCGCTGCAGAACAATTCTCCCGATATTATCGCCGCGGCGCTAGACTCTCATCGAAACAACAATAGCATTAAAGAAATTATTGTTAATAAATATCTGACGTCAGATAAATTACTGACGTATTTAGGCAAAAAGCAGGCGGATTTATCAAAAGAAAAAATTGTTGATATCTACAGGTCTGTTTGTGATAAATTAACGATCGAAGAATTACTGGATCTTAATAATAAAATTATAAAAGAAAAATTGAAGCAACTGAAATAGTTTTTCAGGCAATCGGTTATTAATCATTGACTTAGCGAACAGTTATCATCACTCACGATTTATGTAAATTTAATTAGCTCTCTCACATTCGGTCAGTAATTTTTCACTTAATTTCTACAGTTTATTATTATTAATAACAATAAGTAAACTAATTAATTATGATAAGATATGTAAATACAAGACTTGTATATTAAATGACTATTTACAATAAATGAATTGATTTGATGAATCAGGTAATTGTTAAATTTAAGAGAGAAATTAATATTAATTAATTAATATGAAATTTATTTGAATTATTGTATGTTTTACTAAAATTTTTTTAATGTTCGTAAAAATTTTCTTTTGACTCTTATTGTAATATTACATGTAACTATTATCTGTATTGATAATAAATAATTTTGTACACATTAGTTATTAAATTAATAATTAGTGAATCGTTTTTTATTATTTTAAATAATTAGGGTAAATACCCCAATAGATGGACGGTTAAGCAAACTCGTGTTTTATAAAAAAAAAAAAACAATATAGAAATATACAGATAAGTTGTGATAAAGTAAATTATATTTATGTAAAAATATATAATTAACCAGGAAAAAATAAGTAAAACGTTGTAGTAATTAATAAAAAAGAAAAATGTAAGAAAAAGTCCAATAGATGGACAGTCAATACCAATAGATGGACACTACTTACAAGCAATATTTTCAATTCATTATTTATATCACAAATAATTAATTTATTAATTTTTTCCAGTAAAAAATAAAGCTTGATAAAATTAAAGAGAAAAAG